AGCTCCAGTACAATGTCAAAGTATTGAAAGTGAACCTCCTTGTCTTGTTTCTGATCTTGGAGGTAAAGCATTCAGTCTTTGACCTTTGAGTCTGATTTTAGTTGTAGGCTGTTCATAGATGCTTTTTATCTGGTTGAAGAAGTACAATTCTATTCCAATTTTACTGAGAATTTTTTATTAGATTTTTGTCAAGTACCTTTTCTGTGTTGATTGAGATAATCATATAGTTTTTCTTTTTAAAATTAATATAGTGAATCACATTATCTGATTTTTAAATGTTCAGCCAGTCTTGCATTGCTGAGATAAACCTCACTTGACCCATAATGTATTCCCTTTTATATATTGCTGGGTCTAATTTGCTAACTTTTGTTGTGAATTTTTTTTAAATCTGTGTTTCTGAGGCATATTTTCTTGTAACATGTTTGTCTTATTTTCTTATCAAAGTCACACAGAAAGAGTGAGGAAGTATTTTTTCTTCTTCAGTTTTCTGGGAGAGGTGGTATGGAATTCATATTCTTTCTAGCTTCCATAAATATATGGTACAATTCCCTAATGAAGCCATCTAGGTCTGGAGTTTTCTTTTTTAGGCTTTTAAGATATAAATTCAATTTCTTTAATAGATATTAGGCTATTTTTCTCCAGTGAAATTTCTTTGCTGCTCTTGAGTAAGCTTTGGTAATTTGTGACTCTAAAGGAATTTGTCCATTCATGTATGTTGTTGAATTTTTTGACATAAAGCTGCTCAAATTGTTCTATTGTTAACCTTTTAGTATTTGTAGAATCTGTAGTGATGTCTGCATTCTCAATACTGCTAATGATGATTTGTGTCTTCTCCCCCTTTTCCTGATTAGCCTGATTAGAGGTCATGCTACTGATCTTAAAGATCCAGCCTTTGGTTTCATTGACTTATCTATTTTTCTATTTTTATTTCATTGAATTATGAGTTTAGCATTATTATTTATTAATATTTTTATCTGTTTATGTTTAGTTTAATTTACTCTTCATGTTTATGAAGGTTAATGAAGGTGGTTAATTTAAGACCCTTCTACTTTTCTAACATAGGTATTTATTGCTATAAATTTCTCCATAAGGACTGCTTTTATGTCATTTTTAATTTTTTATATGTTGTGCTTTTATATTAATTCAATTCAAACTACTTTCAAATTTCCTTTTTTATTTCTTTGACCCAGGGTATATTTAGAAATGTGTTGCTTAGTTTCTAAATATTTGAACAAATGATCTCTTTCTGTTATTGATTTATGATTTAATCCACTGTGGTCAAAGAAGAATATGCTTTGTATTACTTCATTTCCTTATAACTGTATTGAAACTTGTTTTATGACCCCAAATAAAATCTGTTTTAGTCAATGTCCATGTACACTTGAAAAATATGTGTATTCTTTTTTGGGTAGAATGTTGTAATAAATGCCAAATCAAGTTGCTTGATGATGTAGTGCAATCTTCTATATCCTTAGTGATTTTCTGCCTCCTTGGTATATCAATTATTGACAGAAATAATTAATCACCTGACTATAATTGAGGATTTATTGATTTCTCCTTACAACCCCATCCATTTGGGGGCTTATATTTTCAAGCTGCTATTGTATATATAAACATTTGGGTGATTATGTCCTCCAGATGAATTGACCCCTTTATCATTATGAAATTATTTTCTTTATCCTTGGTAATATTCTTTGCTGCAAAATCTACTTTGATATTAATATAGTTACTCCAAGTTTGATTCTGATTAATTTTTTAATTTTCCATCCTTCCACATTTAATCTCATTGTCAATATTTAAAGTGAATTGCTTGTGAGCTACCTGTAGTTGAGTTTTGACTTTTTATTCATTATGATGATCTCTGTCTCTTAATTGGGGTTTTGAGACCACTAAAATTTAATGAGTTAGATTTAGTTCTATCTCCTTGCTATTTTCTCTCTGTCCCATCTGTACTTTGTTCATCTTTTCCCCTTTTTCTGTTGGATTATTTTTCTAACTCCATCTAGTCTCTCTTGTTAGCTTAATAATTTGAAAATCTTTCTTTTGTTATTTTAATGGTTGCCATAGCTTTGTACTATATGTTTTTAATTTATCTCTATCTTCAAGTAACATTATACCCATGTACATCTTCACAATTCACAATCTCATCCCTGCCTTTCAGATATAGATTTCCATTTGCTTTTGTTTTCCTTCATTCTGAAAGACTTCCTTTAACATTCCCTTGAGAACATAGCAGTGAAAGTTTGCTGGTGATTAACTGTTGCAGGTTTTATTTTTGAAAGAAAGTTTTACTGGTACAAAATTTGAGATTTACAGCTTTTTTTCCCCTTTCCTTTCCTTAAAATGTTGCTTCACTCTTTCCTGATATCCATTTTCCTCCAAGAAATCTGATCTCATCTTTATCTTTTAAAGTACATAATGTTTTCTCTCCCCCTACTTTTGATTACTTTTAAACTTTTCTCTTTCTCATGTTTTTGAGCAATTTGGTCACCAGGTCCTTGGTGTGGTTTCTTCATGTTACTTGTGTTTATTGCTTGTTGAGCTTCCGGGATGTCTAGCTTTATACTTTTCTCAAATTTGGAAAAACTTTGACCATTAGTTTTCCCCATATTGTTTCTGCCCCACCCAACCCTGCTCCAATCCTCTTGCCTTTAGAGACTTAAATCTCATTTATATTGAGTAACTTGAAGTTGCTTCATAGCTTGGTGATTTAGCTTCCATTTTGATTATTTCTATTGCAAATCTGCTCACCTTTCATCTGTAATATCGAATTTGCTTTTGATCCTACTGTATTTTTCATCTCACTCATTATAATTTTCATATCTCCTGTTCATTTGGGATATATATATATATATATCTTCCATGTCTCTATTTACCTTTTTTTTTTTTCTTTTTTGATACCAGGGATTGAATGCAGGGTCACTTAACCACTGAGCCACATCCCCAGCCCTTTTTTATATTTTATTTAGAGACAGGGTCTCACCAAATTGCTTAGGACCTTGCTAAGTTGTTGAGGCTGCCTTTGAACTTGCAATCCTCCTGCCTCAGCCTCCCAAGCCACTAGGATTACAGGTGTGCACCACCATGCCCAGCTCTATTTACCCTTTTAAACTGATGGAATACAATTATTATAATTGTTTTAATGTATTTTTTTGCTAACTCAGCATCTGTGCTAATTTGGGGTCAGTTTTGATTAATTGATTATTCTCTCTTTTTTTTTCTCTTTCTCATCTAACATTTTAATTTTTGTTTTTGAAGTAATGTTAAAATAAATGCTTTTTAAAAATAAATGTTGAAATTAAATTTCCTATGAATAAAATGCTGTGTTTTAAAATCTAAAAAAGAAATGAGGAAAATCAAAGGATGGGTACCAACGCACAGGAAATCAAAGACAAAATCAATCACAGTTGATTTTTTTTTCCCTGAACTGTTCTGGTTAAACAGTCTATTCTTTTTGATGATTGGCAATTTTAGACAAACAGAAAAACCATTATTGTATGTTCTGTACATCTCTAGGTGGTAGAGTTTCCACTGCAACTTTACAGCCACATCAATGTTTATAGCAGCACAATTCACAATAGCTAATCTGTGGAACCAACCTAGATGCCCTTCAATAGATGAATGGATAAAAATATATGGCATACATACCCAATGGAATGTTTACCTGCAAATGCCATGATTTTATTCTCTTTTATTGCTGATGGAGTTAGAGAAGATAATGCTAAGTGAAGTTAGCCAATCCCAAAAAACCAAATGCCGAATGTTTTCTTTGATATAAGGAGGCTGATTCATAGTGGGATCGGGAGTGGGAACATGGGAGGAGTAGACAAACTCTAGATAGGGCAGAGGGGTTGGAGGGGAAGGGAGAGGGCATGAGGTTATTAATGATGGTGGAATGTGATGATCATTATTATCCAAAGTACTGGTATAAAGACACAAATTGGTGTGAATATACTGTGTATACAACCGTAGATATGAAAAATTGTGCTCTACATATGTAGTAAGAATTGTAATGCATTCCACTGTCGAATATAAATAAAACAAAGATTTATTTAAAAATAAATAAATATAATTAAATGATTATTCTCTTTATAAAGGGCCTTGTTTTCCTGCCTCTTTTATGATTTGTTAGATGTGTCTGAATAATGCTCAGTGTAGGGCTAATTATTCCCCACTGTGGAGATTAAACTTCCAAGTATTTTGCCCAATGCCTCATGAGTTGTTTTTCTATTCTAGATTGTAGGAATAAGCACTGCCAGCCCTGTGTGAGTGCTAGGCATTGTTCTTTTTAATCCTATTGGAGAATTCTTTTCTCCAGACTCCAGAGTAGTTGCTCAGTAGATGCTGATCAGTATCTCTCTCCATACTTGAGGGGTCCCTCTGCTTACCTCCAGAGTCCTCTCTCTGGGCAGTCTTCTACAGTAATCTGTCTTGTTAACTCTGCCATCTTAGTCACCAAGACGCTCAGCTTAGTATCCTCAATTTATATAGTTCACCGGGTCACTTCTAGGTGCACAGCATCTTGATACTCTCTCAAAGCAATGAACTGGGATGATCTTGGGTTGAACTTTATTTTTTCCATCCACCAGGAATCACTGTCTTATTGCCTGAGTCCTGTTTCTTGAAACCATTGTTTCATACCTTATCTGTCTGTGGGTTGTTGATTTGTTTTGTTTACTGGTTGACTGGTCATTTTAAGCAGTAAGGATATTACTCCATTTTGGCCAGAAGTTGAAGATTCAACAACAGTCATTTATTTTCTGCCTCAAGCTCAGTTGCAGTTCAGTTGATCCAATATGAACCCATTGAGAGCTGTTGGGGCTCAGCTAATTTTACTGGTGATCTTTTGGGATATAATGCTACTAATTTGAAGCCAGTCATAGGTATAATGATGAAATTTTTAGATTTTAACCTCAATTTCTAGGGAAAAAATATATATATTTCTAAAAAGTAACTGTGGAAATTATCATTTAATCCCTTTCTTTTTTATTTAAATTTAGAGGACAATGTATCAAAAAATATGCAAGAATCACAGGAATCCCACTTAACCAACCACCTAGATGAAGTTGTTGCTGCTGTCAGCATCACTCCTAAAGCGAAGATCCAAAACAAGCTGCCGCAGACAGTGCTGTTCCAGCCACCACGAGAGAAACTCCACCTCTGTGAAGAGAAAGCAAAGTCCTTTTCCAGCAGTCACAATGTAAGGAACCTTTTACTTCCTTTCCTGTACTCTGGAAATTGGGCTATCATGCATGACCAAAAGAAGTAGAGTACTTTAGATTACATTCCTAATCTCAGGAGTGTGAGTGCCTTTATTGTAGCATGAGTGACTGTAGGCCCTCAGGGCTCCAAGCCCAGCAGTTGGTGTGGTCAAGAATAAATACATTTTGAGCTTTTACCACATGTCTGGTAATGCAACACCATGCAGGTGCAACACTGTAATGCAACACAACGCAGATGAAGCTTCTAGAGTTTAGAATTCCTTGTCTTTAATCTTCTTGGTCTGTGCACAATTCTTTCTCATCCTCCCCTCAGAAGTTTTTTTGATTCCCCCCCTCAGAAATTTTATTCATTCACCCATCCAGGCCATTCATTTATTTCACATTCATTTATTTTACAAATGCCCATTGTATACCTAATATGTGCCAGGTGCCATGAAGGTGCCAAGGGCCCAGAGGGGAAAGCACAGCCAAGAGCCCAGAGAGATATATCACTGTTGATAATGGTAGTCAGTGTGATAAGTTCTGAGAGAGACACAAACTGCGAAAGACACACATGCAAAAACAGAATGGGGTAGGCAGTAAGCCTGGAGTGGGTGCAGGGATAGCAAATAAAGCTCACTTTTAGGATGGAAGTTGCTTGGTCGGCAAAGTTATAGTGCTTAGGATTTGGCCAGGTGACACAGAGGACAAAAGTGTTCTGGGAAAAAGTAATAGATGCTGAAGAGTTGTGGACCTTAGGGGGCACAGTCCAACTGAGGAACTACAAGATGCTGTCTAGGATAAAGGTTCTTGTGACATAGGGACATGAAGCTGGATTATGGGTAGGATCTGGGCCTGGAGGACACTCAGAGTGCAGAAAAAGAGTTTTGATTTCTCATAAAGCTACTTGAGGAATTTTCTAGGATTCTAAACAGGAGAAAGCTATGAGCAGGTTTGAGTTTAGGAATGATCGTTTCTGCAGACTTTTGGAGGATGTATGAGAAAAGAATGAAATTGGAAGAAGAGGAGAATATATGTCATTATCCTGGCAAGGGATTATGAGGGCCTGAACTAAGGGGGACAGAGACAGCAGAGGTGCTGAGACCTTTTGAAGGGAATGTAGAATTGAAAATTGATGGGACTGGATGATCAAGGGAACACAGGAGAAGGAGAGTCAGGCAGATGGGGTATGGAAGACCCTAAGTTAGGTCTCAGTTTGCTCAGATGATTGGAGGCTTTGCCTGTGCCTTTCACCCATAAAGTGAATATAGTAGAAGAGCAAGATTAAAGCAAGAGGTCATGAATTGGTTTTGAGTGTGTGCTTATTAATTATACGCCTGATGTTTATTTGGTACCTACCATGTGCCAGGCCCTATGGTAGGTAGGATTTTGGTCAGTAGCTTTCCTCAACCAAAGTTCTACAAGAGAATTAATCCTAATGCCCAAAGGCATTTAGCATATATAAAGAACTATCTTCTCTTTTATGTGTCCAGATGGTACTAAAACATTTCTGTGATCTCTGGTTCTTGGGACACCAAAGTGAACAGGACAAAGTACATGCCCTCATGGAGCTACAGGGCAATTGACATTGTCAGTAAACCAGATAGTGGGCCCACTGTGGTCAGGGAGGGCCTCTGTGAGGAGGTAACAAATGAGCTGAGAACTGAGAAACAGAAGAACCAGCATGGAAGAAATGAGTTTAGGGATAGGAAAGAGCAAGGTAAGATCTGCAAGGTAGGCACAAGTGTTAGGAGTGGAGGTACTGGGCTGCAATGCAGTGTGGTTGGAAAAACCATCAGTTCACTTAGGGCCTTGAGGGTTGAGTGCTTTGTGCCCTGGAAGATCCTGAAAGAATCAAAGGGGATCCACATGGTATTCTTTACTTTTAAAAATATTCATTTTGGGGATTGGGGCTATAGCTCAGTGGCAGAGTGCTTGCCTAGCATGTATAAGGTACTGGGTTCGATCCTTAGCACCACATAAAAATAATCAAATACAAAGAAAATATGCTGTCCATCTAAAACTACAAAAAGTTTTTTCAAAAATATCCATTTTGGGGGCTGGGGTTGTAGCTCAGTGGTAGAGCGCTTGCCTTGTACGTGTGAGGCCCTGGGTTCTATCCTCAGCACCACATAAAAATAAATAAATAAAAATAAAGATATTGTGTCCATCTACAACTAAAAAAATTTTAAAAATATCAATTTTGGAAAAAATATCCATTAACTTTATTTTATAATAATTTTTGAGTTAGGTTAGGTTAGTTTTCACCAGTTGTTAACATTTTCTTTATGCTTTTTTTAGGGCTTGTTGGTTTTTTGTTTGTTTGTTTTTCTTTTCTTTTTTTGTTTGTGTTGTTGTTGTTATTGTTTTTTCAGCTGGGATGAAATCCAGGACCCCATGCTTGTTAAACCCACTCTGCCACTAAACCACACCCCCAGCCCACTTTATTATTCACCTTTATTCTTTCTCTCTTTATCTCTCTCTCTCTCTTTCACTCATGTTTTGTCTGAGAGTAGGTTACAGATATTATGATCCTTTACCTCTAAATACTTCAGTCTAGTCCCTAAAAATAAGGGTTAAAATTAAGAAATTATTATTAGTATAATGCTATTACCTAATCTATAAGCCGTATCCATATTTCTCCATGAAAAAGTCATTTTTGGGGAAAAAATCAGATCCATAGTCCAATCCATGATTTCATGTTGAATATAGATATCATGTCTCTTTAGTTGCTTTTAATCTGCAACAGTGAACCCATCTTTGTCTTTCATGATCTCAGTGCTTTCAAAAAGCACATTCCAACTATTTTGTAGACCATCTCTCCATTTGAATTTGTGTTATCTTTCCTTGTCATTCAACTCAGATTATGCATTTGAGGCAGGAGTAGCACAAGCACGACTCTAGAGCCTTCTGGGTGCGTCATAGGAGACATAATTTGTCTCATTACTGTGATGCTAACCTTGAACACTGGGTTAAGGTACTGTCTGACAGGCTTGTACATTGTAGAATTACTATTTTTTCCTTTGTAAGTAAGTATTTTGTGGGGAGATGCATCAAGACTGTGTATATACTTAAAACTTCACCCCTTAGTTTTAGCATCCACTGATGATTCTCACCTGAATCCATCATTACTATGAGATTTGTCAAATAGCAAATCTCTGACTTTGGTATTCTTTCAGCATTTATTTGTTTGTGTTCCATATAAGAGCTTTCTCTTCACATTTCATTTGCTGTTCATTTATTATATCAATACAAGTTCAGAAAATTGTGTTTTACAACCCATCATTTTTATCAAAGCTTGAATTGTCCAATATTTCCAGTGGGGGCCTCTTCAACCTGGCTAAGTCCCTGATTTACTACTCACTCTTTGAGTACATTCTTAAGTTATGACACAGTAAGGTTTTTTTAGGTTCATCTTGGGCTTCCTTGTTCCTTATATCCATACATGCTAATCAAAGAGTAAAACATTAAGTAAAAACTAAATATCCATTAACAGTGGATTGAGTAACTCAATTATATTTTGTCTAAGCAATAAAATGCTGTGCAGCCATTAAAACTTTTATCATAGAAGATGATATGGGGGATATTCATAAATTTAGAACAACAGGTTGCAAACCTACAGCTTATGAGTCTGTTTTGAAAAAGAAAAAGTATGTAGATAGATTCATGAAATTAATGAATAAAGGGATATTTAGTTACCTCATTATCTCCAGAAGGTGAGCTTGCAGATGATGTTTAGTTTTCACCTTTTTGCTCTTTTGCATTTTGACAAGCATGCACTACTTTTGTAATAAGAAATATGATACTGTAGAAAATGGCCACAGCCCCACCTTCTTTCAATGCTATGGGGTAAGCATCCTCCCTCACCTTCCTCCTATTGGGTCACAGAAGTGACTCTCCTGTGGTTAACTGGATGTGTGTTTTTGTCAAGAAAAAAAATATATTGTTTCAGGGTTAAAGTGTTTCTAGTTGGCATTGCCCAACATGCACACTGGGTCTTCTAGACCTTCTCCACAACTCTATTCTCATTCCTATTTTTCTTCCTCTTTGCCCACTTCAGCTGGTTTTTATTAGGTGTCTTACCTCCCATCTCTTCTCTTGCTATTCTTGCTAATCTGTTGCTACTGAACACCCTAAAACTTAGTGAGTGAAACAAATCATTCATTTTACTCATGAGCCTGCAATTTGTGCATAGTCCAGTGGAGTCTACTCAGCTGTGCTTCATGTAGTATCTACTGGCCTAGGTGGGCATGGAGCTCTACTGTCAAGATGGCTCACTCATATGGTTGACAGAGCATTGAGTGGATTAATTGGTGTTAGCAGTTCATGCCTTTCCACGGAGTCACTTAGTCTTCCTCGTGGTAAGGTGGTTGGGTTCTGTATTACTTTACTTTAGGGCTGCCATGAAAAAAATACCACAGGCTGTGGGTCTTAAACAGCAGAAGTGTATTTTCTTGCAGTTCTGAAGGTTGGAAGTCCATGAAGGGGTTGATAAGATTGATTTCATTCTGACGCTGTTCTCCTTGGCTTCCAGATGGCTGCTCTGTGTCCTCACAAGGTCCTTTTTTCTGTGCACATGCATCCCTGGTTTCTCTTTCTCTTCTTATGTAAGGACATCAGTCATATTGGATTAGGACCTTCTTAATGGCCTCATTTTAACTTTATCACCTCTTTAAAGGCCTTATCTCCAAATATGGTTGCATTCCGAGGTACAGGACATTGAAACTTCAACATATGAATTTGGAAGGGACATAATTTAGCCCATGTTAAGGTTCCAGGAGTGACACCCAAGAAGAAAGAGAAATGGAAGCCATCAGTTCCTTAAGACTTGGGCCTGAAAACTGGCACCACGTCATTTTCTCCACAACAGCAGGAGCTGTTAATGGCGGTACAATTGGAAAACCTAGGGGATGATTACATGTTTGTTCTACTTTTTAATTTTTTTTCTTTATCCCATTACATTTTTTACTTTTAAATGTACTATAAGTTGTATTCATTTCTTATGTTTACTAATCATTTCACCTGACCATATGAGCACTCTACCATGTAAAATGAATCAAACAGTCTCAGAGTTAAGATCCAAAGTGAAGGGGACATAGACATCCCCACTCATCTCTGGATGGAAAGAATGTCAAAGAATTTCAAAACTGTGTTTTAAAATTATCAGCCTTGCTTTGAATATGTAGCTCCTCTGGGCTGACCTGAAGCTGGGAATCCACGGTTCTTATTCTTTTTGTCCTAGCTCTGAGTGAAAATGTGCTTCCCACTGCTTTAATAAAGTCTGCTTGCCAGTCCTGCTGATTTTATTTGCTATGCTACTGACATAGGCTGTGAAGGAAGATTTCAAATCAAGAATGAAAATGTGTCATTTGAAAACTACTACCAATTGCCCACTTGTACCTGAATATGCAGGAGCCATTAATGGAGGGACAGTTGGAAAACCTAGAGGATGATTACATGTCTGTTCTACTGTTAAATTTTTTTATTTATTCCATTGCATTTTTCACTTTTAAATGTACTATAAATTGTATTCATTTCTTATGTTTACTATTTATTTCACCTGACCATATGAGCACCCTACTATGTAAAATGAATCTTTTTTTGTGATGTATCCCAAGTGCCTAGAGCCATGTTGAGAACATATTAGACACTCAATAAATGTTGCATGGATAAGAGTGTAAGTAGATGTTATACTTTGTAACTCTTGAGTTTTAAGCCATCTAACTAATAAGCTCATTTCTTTTCCTAACAGTATAAACAGGCTGTCAAGGAGCTTGTGCGTTATGTAGCATTGGCAAGAATTTGTTACGGCAACTCCCATTGGAAAATAGCAGAGGCACATGTCAATCTGGCTCAAGGGTACCTCCAGATGAAAGGTGAGCTCATCTCAAGTGGAGGAGGACCAGTTAGTTGGTTACTGCTATGCTCCCCAAATCTGATTCACACTTAACTAGAAGGACTAGGTTTTGGATATTCTCCTCAAATATTGAGAAGCCATTTCCTTTTGAGTTAATAAGGCATATAACATAATAATAATCAAAGGGAAAAGGAAAGGAAAACTGTAATCTTTGGGTTTTGTTTTTTCATGATCTTAAGATTAGGGTTCAGGGCTGGGGTTGTGGTTCAGTGGTAGCACACGCGTCTGGCATGTGTGAGGCACTGGGTTCGATCCTTGGCACCACATAAAAATAAATAAGTAAAAGAGAGGTATTGTGTCCATCTACAGTTTAAAAAAAAAAAAAAAAATTATATATATATATAAAAGATTAGGGTTCTTAGGAGACAATCTATTAGGTCAGAAGGTATTGCAGGAAAAACAAAACAAAACAAAACACAAGACAAGGAATAAGGGAATCCATTCACATTTTTTTGTTTTGTTGGTACCAGAGATTGAACCCAGGGGTATTTAACCGGTGAACCACATCCTCAGCCCTTTTTCATATTTTATTTAGAGAAAGGATCTTGCTGAGTTGCTTTAGGACTTTGCTTAGTTGCTGAGGCTGGCTTTGAAAACTTGCAATCCTCCTGCTTCAGCCTCCCAAGCCATTAGGATTATATGGGCCACTGCACCTGGCTATTTGCATTTTTGATGGAGAGTCTCTTGACTCTAAATAACAATAAATAAATAAATAAATAGATAGATAGATAACAAATTGGCATAACTAAAATGTATTGGCTTATACAAACTTAAAAATCCAAGGGTAAGGCTTCCTTTAGACTTAGCATATCTGATGTTCAAACAAAGTGGCCAGGTTTCCATTTCTATTTTCTCAGCATTGGTTCTATTTTTCTTTGCTTTTTAAAAATATTTTCTATTTGTTCTTTTTTATATATAAAAAATATACTTTGACATAGTATACATACATAGAGTATAACTTTGACATAGTATATACTTTGACATAGTTTACATACATAGAGTATAACTTATTCTAATTAGGATCCCATTCTTGTGGTTGTACATGATATGGAGTTACTCTGGTCATGTATTCGTATATGGACATAGGAAAGTTATGTCTGATTCATTCTCCTGTCTTTCCTATTCCCATCTCCACTGTCTTCCCTTCATTCCTCTTTGTCTAATTCAATGAACTTGTATTCTTCCTCCATATCAAAGAAGATATTTGGCCTTTAGTTTTTGGAGGATCAGCTTATTTCACTTAGCATGATAGTCTCCAGTTCCATTCATTTACCAGCAAATGCCATAATTTCATTCATGTTTAAGGCTGAGTAATATTCCATTGTTTACATATACCACAAATTTCTTTATCCATTTATCTGTTGAAGGGCATCTAGGTTAGTTCCATAGCTTAGCTATTGTGAATTGAGCTGTGTCACTGTAGTATGCTTATTTTAAGTCATTTAGGCAAAAACCGAGGAGTTGGATAGCTGGTTCAAATGGTAGTTCCATTTTAAGTTTTTTTTTTTTTTTTTAAGGAATCTCCAGACTGCTTTCCAGAGTGGTTGCACCAATTTGCAGTCTTACCAGCAATGTATATGTGCCTTTTCCCCCACAAATTCATCAACATTTTTTGTTACTTATATTCTTGATAATTGCCATTCTGACTGGAGTGAGATGGAGTCTCAGTGTGATTTTTAGTTTGCATTTCTCTAATTGCTAGAGATGTTGGACATTTTTTCATATATTTGTTGACTGTATTTCTTCTTCTGTGAAGTGCCTGGTCAGTTCCTTTGCTCATTTATTGATTGGGCTATTTTGTTTTGTTTTGTTTTTTTGTGTTAAGTTTTTTGTTATTTATATATTCTGGAGATTAATGCTCTATCTGAGATGCAGGTGGCAAAGATTTTCTCCCATTCTGTAGGCTCTCACTTCACATTCCTTAATTGTTTCTTTTGCTATGAAGAAGCTTTTTAGTTTGATACCATCCTATTTATTGATTCTCTATTTTACTTCTTGTGCTTTAGAAGTCTTGTTAAGGAAGTCATTTCCTAAGCGGACATGATGGAGAGTTGGGCCTATGTTTTCTTCTTGTAGGCACAGGGTCTCTGGTCTAATGCCTAGGTCTTTGACCCACTTTGAGTTGAGTTTTGTGGAGGAGGAGAGATAGAGATTCAATTTCATTGTGCTTCATATGGATTTCCAGTTTTCCCAGCACCATTTGTTGAAGAGCCTTTCTTTTCTCCAATGTATATTTATGTTGGCTCTGTTTTTCTTGGTATTGGCTCCATTCTTAGCCAAACTTTGACCACATGTTAGTGGCAAATCTGCCAATAACCTTAGTTTTCCCTTCTAAGCATTCCCAGGAGAGACAGAATGTCCCACCACCAAAACCCTTCAGGGTTTGGGGGACATCCTAATTAGACCAATTTGAGTTATGTACCACAGACCAGGAATAGTCTGATTGACCAGATCTGACTTTTCACTTCTGTGGATGCTTGGGAAGAAACTGGCTTTGGCTAGGTCACACAGATTGGATGTGTAGGGGCCAAACATATCAAAAAGAAAAAGAAGAAGAGAGAAGGGATGCAGGGAAGGCAAAAACAACATATAGCCAGGATATGGTGTCTTCTAGTTACTGACTATGCAACCTAGGACAAGATGTCTAAGACTGCATCTCCGCACTCAGCTTCGTCAACTGAAAAGCTATGATAAGGATGATGATGGCACTAACTTCCGAGGGTTGGTTCCAGGAGGAAATAAAGCAATAGAAGTGGAAAATGCCACAATGCCAAGCATAGAATTAACACCCAATAATTTTGGCCAAAGCTTATAGACTGGTCTTACCTGTTAGATCAAAGACCATTGGAGCCGGAGGGAACTTTAGAGATCATCTTTTTACCTACGCTCTCCCCCGCTCACCATTTTCTAGATTCTGAGGAAACAACAATATGAGTTGAAACAACTTGCTCTAAATCACACTATTAATAAGTAGCTGATCTGAGACTCTGACCTAAGATTTTGCATGCCAGTCCTACTGTCCTGCCATCTTGGTTTTCAAGTAATGCTTTCCTTCTATAGCCTCCTTCTTTTCTGCATGAATCTTTCTTCCTCAGTTAAAAGTAAAAGCAGTCTAGTATCTAGTAAGGTCTTACTGAGTGCCAGGCACCTTGCTGTTTTCCATACATAACCTTATTCCATCTTCACCACAGTCTCATGAGGTGGTATTATTATTATCCTTTTTGTGCAGTTGGGGAAGCTGAGGACAAATTTTCCTAGTAAGTAGTGGAGCAGGGAATTCTTCCTGGGTAGTCTGACTGCAGAGCCAATGTTCTTGAACCTCAAGGCCTATGCTGCCTCTAGTAGGTTCAAATTCATGTTCTTAAGGTAAGGGACCTAAGTTGGAAATGCAATCTGCAATGCCTTTTGGTATATATTACATGTACCATTGGCTCTAATAAATTTCTAGCAAGCAGTTGAGTATATGCTTTGAAAAAGTATAAGATGCATAAAGTTCTGAGATTTCACATGAAGAGCATAGCCCTGACTTTCTCCATTAGAAAGTATATTGTTTCTGCTTTATAGATGTGAAAACATAATTAACTTCATATTTTGACAGACTTTTCAGAGATTTGAGATTCACTTCCATGTAATTCAGAACATAGGCCCAGGAGTGTGTGGGTGTCAGTGAAAGGGGGTTATCGGTGCAGGAGAGGAGGGTGGGAATGTGGGAAGTGCAAAGCACTGGATCCCAGCTGGTGAACTTTGCATCACCAACTCACAGATTAATAAGCCTGTGGAAGAGCACTGGAATCCTGTGGGAAATCAGTTCTCAGTAGTAATTTTTCATCATTCTATTTAGTTTCATATTAGCTTAGTACCCCACAGAAAGAGATTATGGCAGTGGTTCATGACCTCACTGCAATTGTGTTTGTAAGTTTTAAAGATATCATCATATTTGTATTGTGAAAATAACTCTAACAGCACAATTATAGACAGGTGAGCAGAAGATTTAGATTTTTTTTGTATTTCATTAAGATTGCTGTCACTGTCACAAAGCCAGGATTAAGATTCATGAATAACTTACTTCCTTCCCAGAATAGTCCTTGTATACCATTTTTTTAAAAAATAATTATCGGTCACATGTTTTACATCTGATATTGGTGAGGTTTCAAAGTTTTTCAGTTCCAGCTTGTTCAGGTTTCTTAATTTCTAAAAAGGCCATTTGGGGAATATTTTTTTTTCTTGAGCACTTGATATAAAACAATTCTTTGGTCACTACTGTCATGATAATATCCCTACTGCCCAAATACATCTCCATGTGCCACTTGACAATGTGGTGGGACTTTGTTAGATTTGCTAGCCACAGAGAACTGTATTGATATCCATCTGAGAATAAGAGAAACTGAGACTTCTTTTTCTCTGTCCATAGGATATGCACTGCAAGCAAAACAACACGCAGAAAAAGCCAAAGAAATCCTCACCGACTCCATTGTGCCTCCCTTTACTGACAATTCAGATGTTTTCAAGTGTTCCATAGAACTGTTCTATACCCTGGGGAAAGCCCTACTCTCTCTTCAAAAGTATCCTTTTGTCTCTGATCTTTACACATAGAAATACTGCTCATATAATACTTATATATAATTCTCAAGGTCAAATAAAAAGCTAACAGATGACTCGGGAAGGGTAAGAGCTAAGAAAGTTCCAAGACTTGGGGTCCCAGAATCTAGAACCAAGAGGAAACTTTCCTAAACACAGTTCAGATTTAAAGAAGCTACAGAGAATTTGAGAAAAGCAGAGAGACTTTCAAAGGAGCTGCTACAATGCGGAAGGATTGTACAGGAAGAGTGGATAGAAATCCAAGCACGGATCAAATTGTCATTTGCACAGTGAGTTTCAAGTTTAAGACTTTGTATGCATGGCTGCTAGAGGTTCTTTTCCAGTAGAATCTGTCTTCAGATAGAAGGAGCTTCTTCATGGGGCTGTGTTGATGGCTTCTCCCAAAGCCATTGTCCAGATGTAGAAGAGGAGCACAGTCATGTCAGAGCAGCCCCTACCAAGACATACATTCAGGACACTTCACTTGGTGTCAAGTGCTCTCATATCCACCCAGGGTCCTACAGTCCTGATCATCATCCCCTTGACTTTCATCCTGCTCCCCCTCTCCATCTGCTGCCCTGTGTCCTTTCCCTTTCTCATTTTCTTCGCTCTCTCTGATATCTTCAATAGATTGATTTTTGTGACAAGGACCTCCGAGGAGAAAGACCTTTAAACATATCCAGTTTGTGATGTTGAAAGGATTGTTCTTTGTTCCTCATCCCACACCACACTCACCAAATAACCTAACCTGGAAGTGTTATAAAGAGAAAGTGATGGGCCCTTGGTTTTGTGCCCAAGCCCAAGCCCAACCCCATGTTGATTCCCCAGAGTGTGGGATGTTAGAGTATCCATGCTCTTCAGAAGTTGGATAAGTGGGGAAAGAGGGTGGAGAAAGGTCTACTCTAGAAGAGGCAAAGAATCCCAGTCGACCTACATGACCACCCTTAGCCAAAGCTGGAAGAATTCAGTTTACATTCACAACCAAGAGAACTCACAGAACCAGTGGGATCATTTTAAGAGAGGTAATAGCAAAGGACCCCAGGAGAACACATGTAATGCTACCATATGAATAGAAACTGAGAAAGACCAACTCAGACTCAAGCTTTTAAAGGTATTATCTTTTGTGACTACAATTCTACCTTCTTATTTTGTTCTGTTTGGTGTTTTTCCGGACTGTTAGGTCAACATTAGTCTGTCAATGCAAGCCCTTTGGTATGCTTTTGTAAATTAAATTTTTCCCTTAAGCTCAGATTTTCACCCTCATTCTCTCCCCTCTCACAGCATAGATATCTATATTAATGATGATCTGTATTCTAATAAGGATCTCCAAAAAAAATAGTATTGTTTTATGTATTAGTATTATTTATGTATTTATGTGTTTTAAGTTTGCAAATTAAAAAAAAAATTTGTAGTTGTAAATGGACAGAATGGTTTTATTTTATTTGTTTATTTTTATGTGGTGCTGAGGATTGAACCAAGTGCCTCACACATGCTAGGCAAGTGCTCTGCTGCTGAGCTGCAGCCACAATACATATTTTATTCTGTTTCTTAACTTTTTAATTGTCACCTGTACTTTAGTTCCTGTGTCTTTGCCACATTTTGCTTTTCCATCCTCCTAGCAACAGATCCTCAGCTTGTCCCCACACAGCAGTACTGTCACCAATATTTATATGCATCTTTACTTATGTAAGTGAGACTCTTTCTGAGGTTTATATCTCAGGATTGCTGGGTCAGAGGAGAAATGTACTTCAAGTTCTGTAAGCACTGGCCAATTGCTACTGCCATCTTCATTCCTGTTTGCAGGACAGATGGATTTCTTTTTTTCTCCCCTCCCCAACAATGTTTGTCCTTGTTGATCTTTGTAGTTGTTGCTAACCTGATGCATGTAACGTGTTATCTAATTATTTTTTAAGTCTATTTACATTTTTTATTAAAGTGTTCAATTACCTCCTCATATGCTTCTTAGCTATTTCAGATTCCTCACTTGTGAATAGCCTATTAGTATTCTTTCATATTTTTCTTTTGGGATTCCGTATGCTTTTCCTTTTGACAATCAAAACTTTCTTGTATGTTATGAATATTAATAATATTGCCTCTATTTTCTTACATCTATTGCCCATTTATTAATTTTGACTGCAGTGTTCTTCTTGGAATAGAAATTTTCATTTCACTAGAGTCAAATTCAAATTTCATTTTTACATTTAATTTATATGTTAGGAGCTTGTTTAGAAAGTGTTTCTCACACTAATATCAAATATATTATCTGAATTTTCCCAATAAGACCTGCTTTCGCTCTATCTCATATACTTTAACATGCAACATTTATCACTGTCTTCATGTTCTTAGTATTTTATAACTTAGTTTAGAAATTACTCCTTAGTCCAAAGATTATTCAATGATGTATATTTTAATATGCAGATATATGTTATCTTTCAAGGTATTCTGATGCACTGATTTCTAATTTATTGCCTGATGCACAGAAACATAGTTTCATGTTATTGATCTCTTGAAATTATTGAAGATTCCTTTGTGAACTAGTCCATGGTTGACTTTTGTGAATGTTCCAAATGTGGTTCAAGAGAAATTTTAGTCTTTATTATGTTTAATGTTCTAATACATCTGAATTAGGTTGACCTTATTCTATTATTCAAATTTGCATCTTTATTTTTGCCAATTTAATATATGAGTTTTTAAGATGAGTATGTTTAAATATTCTAGGGAAATTAGTGGTCTATCCACATCTCCAGGTTCTGGTACTTGTTATATATACTATGGGGCTGTTTTGTGGAGGGGAGGAGAATTCAACAGCAACATATCCTTTTAATCTATTACTCTGTTGAATCAGTCTTTTTGTCCCCATCTCTGTATCTTGCCTGATATTATACCATAGCTCTCTTGGTACAAATTTTCCTAAAATACCTTTCCTCATCTTTTAAAATCTTTATTTGTGTTTAAGTTTCCTTTCATCCTACCAATTTTCCTATTCCTTTCTTGCTTTCTTTTAGTCAAATATTTTTATCATTCCATTTTCTTACCCACTGATTCGTAAGTTATGCCTTGTTTTATTTTTTAATGATTTTTATTGAATTTATCATTTATTTCCCTGACTTATTATAATCCAATGGTAAATTAGTCAATTAACTGTTTCCTGGACAATACAAGGACATGTGACCACATTAATACTCTTTCCCTATTTGGGCTCATGTTGGCCTGTATTTAAGTCACCATATATTTAACACCACAGGTAAGCACTAAGAAGAAAAAGATATTTGTAGTAAATACAGATGAAAAAATTGTCATGTAGAGAATCTGTGAAGAACCCCAGATATGATTAAAATGAAGACAAACAACTGAATAGAAAAATTGAATGATAGATTTTTCACAGAATAGGATAACCACCTCACTAGTATAGTAAACATGTTCAGGGAAATGAAAACTAAAGTCATAAGTTACTACTCCAGTCCCACTAGAATGGCTAAAACTTTGTAGGAAACTGATAATATCCAGGGTTGGCAAAGATGTGGTACTCAGATATGTTCTCTCACATGCTGCTATTTGGAGTATATTTGATATAACTGCTTTAGAAAACCAATTGGCATTTTGTATTCAAATTTGAATATTTGAATATCCTTTGACCCAACAATATCACTCCTAAATATAAAAATGCATGCCTTTATCCACTAAGTGACACAGCCAAATATGTTCAAAACTGCATTATTTGAATTGGCAACAGCCCAAATGTTCATCAAAAGTAGAATAGTCAAATTGTGATCTGTTCATACAGATTGTCAGACTTCTAGCTTAACATCATGGATGACTCTTGTAACATAATTAGTAAAACAAACAAACAAAAAAACATACTATAGGATTCCATTTATATGAGGAAAAAGAGAGTTGTGGGTGCTTGAGAGGAATTACCCCAGACTCACCCAAAATCTCTTCCTGCCCAGAATTAGACACTATTCTATATTGTTAGGCAGAAAATAGACAAATCATAGGTCCAAGATCTGATATGTGTTGCATCTGCTGAGACCCAACTAATGTATCAGTACTTAGGGTTGAACCCTGTTGCTATAAAAAAGAGTAAACTATCCTCTGCCACTGGCACTTTCTCAGGAGTGCTTTCCAAACCAGCAATACCAAGCCTTGCCAGCAGATGGCAGACTATGTATACATCTATGCTGAATAAACAAAAAGAACTTAAGTTCACATTCCAAGCTGTTCTACAAAGTTACTTTCATGTTTAGCAGAGTTGTTTTAAATTTTTTCATTTCTTTTAATTTTGATTCTTTACTGTGACATCTTCCCTGGAACACATATGTCTCAACCACATGATTATCATTCAATTACTTTGCTTTGTTTGCTTGTTGAAATGTGAATATTTGGTCTAAACTGATATGCTTCAGGAAAAAAATAAGGCTTCGTTTTTGTACATTTCTGTAGTTGCCCTTGATCTACAAGGGCCTTTTGTTTTGGCAGGTCTTAGAAGTAGAAGGTCAGGATAATTTCTCAGGCAGCTCTTGTAGGATTTATGTCCCTCTTAAAAGGGTATCTTTTAGTGTATCTTCTTCCTCCATCTGCCTCTCCTTTTATGGTGCCCATTAGGCCTGGCCAGTGCCTTTCTCCCTGGTCTGACAGATAAGTGCTTCAGGGTGACTCATGTTTCATGCCACCCCTGATTCAGCCTGAAGCTTCTTCCCTCTATGTCTCCTCCTCTGCCCCAAACTTACTGCATTCAGTAATAGTTTTTGGGATCCCAATCATGTGTACCTGTGTAATATTTCTTTAAATCTGCTAAATTTAGAAAGTAACCAGTGAAAAACAGGAAAGTTTCCCCCACAGAGTTCAGAATTGTGTTCTGTTTTGGTGACCAACAGATCATGGTCTTTATGTATACAAGCCTACACCAATGCACCTGTATACCCACTCACCTTTAAAAATTACTTTTCTGTGTGGCTTGAGGATAATGACCAATTGAGATTGCTGCTCCAAAACATATGATTTGATGGTCTAACTCCCTGTGACTCCCTGACACTGTCTTTGGAGGCTTCCAAACCTTGCCCAGTGAGCAAATGGCCTGGTGTGGCTAAGTTGAACTAGCCCAGGAATAAGCAAACACTTTTCTTTCTTCAGAGTATGAACAGGACACCTGCCAAGTATGTCTAGGCAGTATGACATTGTACAATTAATAACATGGACTTTGGAGTCAGAACCCCTAGGCTCAAGTCAGTGTTCGTTCAGATTATCCTGCAGTAGAAACTTGGGCAAGTACCCTGCTTCCTGTGAGGCT